AGAGGATTTTAGTATTTATGAAAAGTTTCAGTCTGGTTTGAAGCCCAGCCACAGCATCTGAAAGTGCACTGCAGCGTCTATTCAACGCAGAAGTATAAATTCCCAGTTAGTTCTGAATTCCTGGGGACCTCATGTGGATGTTTATCTGCCCTCCCCTGTCTTGTTCATTCTGTACACCTCTGATTTAACGTGCAACTCTGAGTCACGCCACATGCAGAAGTTCCCAGATGACACTGCGATTGTTGGGTGTATAAGAAGTGGACAAGAGGGCGAGTACAGGAGACTGGTGGAGGTCTTTGTGAAAAGGTGCTGGTCAAACCATTTGCAGCTGAAAACCTATAAGACCAGAGAGATGGTGGTGGACTTCCAGAGGACGAGACCTCCCTTATGTCCGTTACAGAGAGAAGGACTGTTAACAAACTGCTGTCCATCATGGACAATGCCCACCACCCTCTGCACAGCACACTCACTAAGCAGAGTATGTTCAGTGGCAGACTTCTCTCTCAGTCCTGCTCAACAGACAGACAGACTGAAGAAGTCTTTTGTCCCCCAGGTCATAAGGTTATTCAGCTCCTCCCAACGACAGCAGGCTGGAACGAACCACATTATGTTTAGATCTGTTCTCCTTGTTTGCATTTGTATTTGTCTAAATATTCATCCTCTGTTAGCATTTCATATTTAACAGTATGCGCTTTTTATGTTTCCCAGCATTCCTTATTTATTACAGTCTTTACTTTACTTCTAAGCTCCTTCTTACAAGATAAACATATTAAAGTCTGCATCTGCACTGGTGTCTGTACATATATGTATCTATGCCTATCATCCATAGCAAAGTATTAATTACTTCTAATTACTGCACTGCTCTCACACTTTAATCTAATCACCTTACATTGCAATACCTGCGCTGTCAACTACAAATATGTACTAACATCACAAACATATCACTGTGACAGCTCTCTGTAGTGATCCTGGTACGATCATTTCACTGCGGTGTGTTTATTTTATTTTATTTTTTTTTTTGCACCTATTTTTTTTTTCTATCTATGTGTGTATCTGTGTGTCTGTATGTGTTGTGTAAAAAGCTACTGGGTGCCTTAATTTCCTTCCTAGATAGAGTATCATCTATCTATCTATCTATCTATCTATCTATGAGACATCATTTAAAAAACAAATGTAGAAATGTAATGTTCTTGTTGTTCAAAGTGACTCCTGACTGGATGGTTTTGAAACAAAAGAAAACTGTATTTCACGGTTCTGATCCTTGAACCAGCCCAGCAACAGAAACATGAGTCACATCCGGGGAAAGTTTCTACACTGCATGAGGCTCTGAATATCAGCCAGTGGCAGAGTTGCGACAGCACACTGTATTTGCATACGGTTTCATGTATATAGCAGCGCTCCGACCCGTCAGCACATACTCTTCGGTTAACACCAGAGCTACAACATGCCTGAAACTGCAGTCAAAGCGGCCAAGAAGGGCTCAAAGAAAGGCGCCACAAAGAACGTCAGCAAGAGCGGCAGTAAGAAGAGGAGGACCAAGAGGAGGGAGAGCTACGCCATCTACGTGTACAAGGTGCTGAAGCAGGTCCACCCCGACACCGGCATCTCCTCCAAGGCCATGGGCATCATGAACTCGTTTGTCAGCGACATCTTTGAGCGCATCGCCGGTGAGGCCTCCCGTCTGGCTCACTACAACAAGCGCTCCACCATCACTTCCAGGGAGATCCAGACCGCCGTCCGCCTGCTGCTGCCCGGTGAGCTGGCCAAGCACGCCGTGTCTGAGGGCACCAAGGCCGTCACCAAGTACACCAGCTCCAAGTAGACACTGCTGCTGCCTCCACTACTCAACCAACGGCTCTTTTAAGAGCCACCCACTATATCTTTAAGAGCAAAGTTGGCTGATTACTACTTCAAATTATTCATCCACTGTTGCTTGTGCTGCCAAAGCCTTTTGTTTGCACTTCACTGTGGCTGATGACAGAAATCACTAAGAAGAAGAAGAAGAGTAAGCTGACACATGTCGACTTGTGATTTGGCATCAAAAACTTGAAGAAAGTGCTGGTTTAATCTTTACAGTATCTGAGCACAAGGCAGAAATATAAACTTTACCTGGATTGCATCATGTGCAGTATTGAGCAACATCAACACAACTTAACCTGGACACACGGAGTATCATTAATTCAACTAAATGTATTTATAAAGAACATTTTAAAAACAACTCACGTTGACCATGGTGCTGTACAAAATAGTGATGGGAATTCCGGCTCTTTAGAGATCCGGTTCTTTTGGCTCGGCTCACTAAAAAGAGCCATCTCTTTTGGTTCCCAAGTGGCTCCTCAGATTTTTGTTGCTTAAATTAATTTATTACCAACAATAATATAAAATGTGTAAAATAAATTACTAATGTCAAAAAAAAATACATTGCATCAAATGTTTACTATTTATACGACATTATATACTCTGACTCACAGAGTGCTACAAAAAATAAATTATAAAGTACAAAAAAACTTTTAACTGTTTTAAACTTTTAGCTTTTTACTACACTTAACTATCTTAAACTTGTAATTATTTACAGTGAAACAACAGAAGTTTACAGAATCACACAACAGAATATAACTAAAGCTGCAGCAGCAGTTGCAGTAGACACACTGGCACCTTCATTAATAGGTTTGCTTGCTTCCAATTGCACTGATGGATGAACAGTTCTCATGTGCCTGTGCAGTAGTGATGGGATTTCTCGTTCACTTGTGAGAGCCGGTTCTTTGGCTCTCATTCACTTTGAAGAGTCAGTTCAAAGATGCGGTTCGTTCATCCGTTTTTGTTTTTTGTTGTTTTGGTTTTTGCTGTGTGTGTTCAACGACAAATCACATTGCTGATTTATCGCATCACGTGATATTGTAACGTGGACCCAGAATAGACTCTGCAGATATAAAGTTTGGTGTAGCCATAGCAACGGCCTTTATAAACAACAAGCCTGTCAATACAAGTAAGTGCTAGCAGATAGTGGGTTAGTTATTGATGTGACGTTCCCGAACGAGCTGAGTCTTTCAACTGGCTCTTTGAAGTGAACGAGTGAGCGGCTGCACTGTCTTTCTCCCTTACAAACTAGTCTCTCTCAACTTCAAAACATCACATAATCTGAAATTAATGGATACAGAGTAAATTAAAGCAAAAAAGAAATTAGGAACTGGCTCGTTCACTCTAAAGAGCCGGTTCACTCGTTCACTTCAAAGAGCCGGTTCCAAGACTTGGCTCGTTCGCCAACATCACATCACTACTGTGCAGGTTGTTTGGATATGAGATTTTAATCTTGCAGACTCTACACTCTGCCCTTGTATTGTCAGTGTAGTTGATGATTCCAATTTTTACTGCTTTTCCTGCTGTATTCATTCTCAACTTTTTTTTTTTTTTTTTAACCTTTCCAGCATGTTGTCTCTCTCTGTCTCCCTCCTGTTCATGTGCTCACTGTGCTGTGTGTGCCTGTAACCCCTGCCCCTCCCCCTTCTGCTCACCTAGGACACACTGACGACACCACACATATTGACCAATCACGTGCGGCTTGAACAGAAAAAAACAAACAAAAAAAAACCCCAAAGCGGCTCCCAATCGGGAGCCGGCTCCCATCGTTGACTTCAAAGAGCCGGCTCTATGAGCCGTTTTGTTCGCGACCGACACATCACTAGTACAAAAGGACTAAAATCCTAAGAAACACATGCATAGGGGTGACATAATTGTCAGGTACACAGCTCACACATTATAGACACAACACACACAGGCACACAAGAATGTGGATTGTGGACATGATGGCAACAAACACTTGCAGATGTGTGCAAAATGCCCCCCCAAAAAATATTAAAAAGGAATCCTTGCCAATTTCAGCAGCTATTTTAAGCACATATAGATGGTTGATGACTTAGGATTTCCTACATACAGACAACCCATGTGTGCCAGCTTGCTTCAGGCTCAGCAGTAGGGAGGAGACAGGGTGAACTCAGAGTTTCTTATAGAAAACCTGCCAGCGAGCAGGTTCAGTTCACAGAGTCAGTTGCCATGGTGATTGATTCACAGTTTGACTTACCTCTCTGTCTGGAACTGAAAACCCAGAGTTACCTCATTTCAGGGTTAACATACTAAGAGTTTTCACTAAACCCGCTTTCTGGAACACCCCCAGGTGTCCTCTTCACCTGTGTCGCTGTCCGAGGTGCTGAACTGACACCTACAGAGCTGATCTCTGTTCAGGGAGCTCATTTTACCTCTATGACACATATCTCAGGTGTCAGGTCTCCACGTCACAGTCACGTCAGTTTTTAATACAGTGCCCTCTGAGGGGTCAAAGGTCACAGCCATTCAGTGTTGGTTTTTAGCCTTGTCCCTTACATGGAGAGAATTCTCTGGAATCTCTGAATCTTTTGATGATATTTTAGATTGTTGATGAAGAAATCCCTAAATTCTTTGCATGTTGAGAATAGTTGCTCTCAAACTGTTGGACTGTTTGCCCACACCTGAGCCTTTTGAAGACACTACTTACTAATGAACCTGTTTTTACCTGTTGAATGTTTCAACACATCTGAGCATCCAACAACTTCCCCGTCTTCTGTTGCCTCTGTCCCAACATTTTTGGAACATGTTGCAACATCAAATGCAGAATAAAAAACAATTTATCAGTTTGAACATTAAATATCTTATATTTGGACTGTATTCATTTGAATATGAGTCAGAAAGAATTTACAAATCATTGTGTTTTTTTTTAAATTTGCATTTTACAGTGTCCCAACGTTTTTGGAGTCGGCGTTGTTGAGGTAGTTGCACTTTATTTCAATATTTACATTATCTGGTACTTCATACTTTTTTATGAGATCAAAAATCAAGATTATGGAGCACTTAGAGACAGAAAAACAACTGAAAATCAAACTGAGGCAAGCAACAAAGCAAAAGTGGCACACAGAGCTTCTGGAAGCCAATAATCCTAAAAAGAGTGGGACAGCATGAAATCAATGACAGGAATGTCAACTCCAGATAAACCCATCGTTACGGACAGTGAACTGCATTTTGCCAATGATCTAAATACTTTGACAGATTTGAATCAGTGCAATAAGTGCACTGAAATACTTAAAGGTATAATACCTGCTGCTTCACACAGAATTATCATCAAATGTTGAAGATGTCAGGAAAATGATGAAGTGTACGAATACCAAGAAAGCTGCTGGATCAGATGATTGTAGCGCCTTTCTTTTGAAGAGCTTTGCAAATGAGCTGGCTCCTGTGTGGCAACCAATTTTTCAGGGGTCTGTAGACAAACACACTGTTCCTCTGTCACACATAAAGCCTTTACCTAAAATCCCATGTCCAAAAGAACCTTAGGATTTTTGACCAATCACTCTTACCTCAGTGATTATGAAATCTCTAGAAAAGGTTCATATCATTTCCAAGCATTTAGATAGACCTCACACCTATGCAAGAGCTATCTTTCTAGATTTTTCATCTGCCTTCAGTACGACTCAACCTGACCTTTTGGTCTCAAATGGTTGAGCGGGGGTTAAATCCATATTTGATTCACTGCTATGCCTCTTTCCTCATGAACAGAGTCCAGATTGTTAATGTGAACAAAACCCTTTCCTCTGCCATCAGGACCAATGTTGGGGCTCCCCGGGAGGTTGTTCAGTTTGATTAGACATTATGGATAAATATCCATAAATTGTATTATAGGGCAGAATATTAAGTTTTTCTTCAGAAGTATTAACTTCATACCATCAGAAAGAGACTACAGAAGAGGATTATCTGGTGGTATACATGATAGCATGATTAATATTATGATATGATGCATACAATTATAAGTGATGAATATAGAGCGCAGGTCGGTCTTGAAGTCCTGAGCGATCTCCCTGACCAGGCGCTGGAAGGGCAGCTTGCGGATCAACAGCTCGGTGGACTTCTGGTAGCGGCGGATCTCTCTCATAGCCATGGTACCAGGCCTGTAACGGTGAGGCTTCATCACGCCGCCGGTGGCCGGGGCGCTCTTATGGGCAGCCTTGGTGGCCAGCTGCTTCCTGGGGGCTGATTCTGGATATGTTAGTTTAGTACTCGAATCTGCTCCCAGAAGCATTGCACTTAACGATAATTTTCTGTGAGGAGAAGTTAAAAAAGAGGAGGTGATTCAGGCTATCCAACAGTTGAATGTAGATAAAGGTCCTGACGGTCTTCCTACTGAGTTTATCAGTTATATATAGATGACATGTTACACACACTCACACTTATGTTTAATGAAGCTCTGCACTCTGGTACTTTTGGTGACTCTTTATATGAAGGTGTGTTACACTTATTATATAAAAAAGGAGACAAGACAGATATAAATAATTACAGACACCTGACTATAATGAATACAGATTAAAAAATATTAGCTAAAATAATAATGAATAGATTAAATGATACTCTAGATGATATTATAGAAAAAGAACAAACGTGCAGTTAAAGGACGTCTGATGTGAGACATCTTGTGCACATTGAGAGAGACTCTACAAAAACAAGACTTTTTCATTATCGGGCTGGATCAAAAGAAAGCCTTTGATTATGTCTAATGATTTTATTCATATGATCAGATGTCTGTATAGAAAGTCATGTGTCCGTAGAAATGTTAATGATGTACTTTCTGATTCTTTTAACGTAGAAAGAGGTGTAAAGCAGGGCTGTCCACTGAGTGCTGCTTTATACATCTTAGTCATTAGCCCTTTAATCAAAATAATAAATGCTAACCCTTTGATATCAGGTGAACTTAATATTTGCAATGTTAAAACAATGGCATATGCCGATGACGTTACCGTTATTATAAAGAATCAGTTAGAGATGGACATTTTAATTAATCATTTGTGTCTTTATGAACTGGCGTCTGGTGCTAAATTCAACAATGAGTTCAAATAAACACAAGGAGTTTGTGCTCTAGAGAAAGGATCAGCACTCAGTGAATAACCTCCTAAGCCCTATGATAAGCTATTATGGCAAGGCTTAACTATACAAACCAATGAGCAGTAATAACTAACATGTCTTTGGGGTCATCAGGTGGGAACCTCCTTTCACCAGTGTTTCATCTAGTTGGTCCCACGACACCTCCAGGAGGCTAGACAGTGATCTCTGGCGTCCCAGAGACACTCCCCTAATGCCAGCTCTCACTGCTCCCCACACCAACCCAACAACCTCCTTTACCTTACTTACACATGGCTTTCTCAGCCCAAACAGCACTGCCACCTTCAACCAAACCCAGGCTCCGTACATGCGAGCTCCAGGTAGAGACAGTGCTGATACTACCTTTCCTAGCACATTCACCATACTCTATTTCACATGCTACATAGCATAACTACAATATAAGTTGAAGTTAAAGGAGCTAAATGAACTTACAGGATCAGCAAACACACTCACCTTGCAGCATGGCCTCAAACAAAATGGATTCAAATAGGCCACTCCCACACTTAAATACTTCCTCTTCCTGGATTTCCTCCTGAGAGGAAGTGGGTCTCTCCACCTGATCTCGAGGAGTTATGTACCCTCCTGGCCCCCAACTGACATTATGACTCAGGGAGTTTGGATAGGAACGGAGAGTAAAAAACCTCAATTAAATATTCAAATAAAAGAAGAAATTAAAATACTTGGTTTGACTCTCTGTAATAATGATTGTAGTGAATGAAATTGGGATGAAAAAATTTTGTTAAAGAAGAAATTAATAAATGGAGAAACAAAGATACTAATTATAAATCTAGAATTAATATAATGAAAACATACATTCTATCCAAACTCCTCTTTCTTGCTAACACATTTCCACCAACTCCCAGCATATTAAAACAATTAAATAAACAGTGTGAACCTGGTCTGGGCAACCACCAGAGAAGTCACTAAACATGACCTTTTGTTTAAAAGCAGACAGTATGGAGGCCTTGGCGCCGTTGATTTGAGTGTGTCAGAGGCCATCTCAAGAAAAGCACCCTGGGTCGGTCTTGTTAAAAAATCTTGTGACATCAATTACAAGTCAGTAACTTTCGGACTCATAACAGAAAACATCCCACAGAAACACAAAGAACTGTATCAAGTGGTCATTATTATCACTTCATACAAACTTTGGAAAACCAGATGTGCCATGTCCCTCCAACAGACTGTTACAGATGGAGACATGGTAATAAAACACATCAGGCTGACCTCCGGAGGAGAAGGACATTAGATAAGAATCAAACTCTTCCGTGGAACATTTTGCACTTTTAATGGACTCTAATATGTGCACCTTGTTGCCTACTTGCACTTTATTATTGTAAAGTGTATTTTTTGTGAGTCAGGGTTGTTGTCGTGTCTGATTTTCTGTGTTTTGGAACATGTTTTGGTTGTTGCAGTGTATTTTTTGTATGGAATTCAATAAAGTATTTTTGTAAAAAGAAAAAGAAAAAAGAAAAAGTAAAACGACCGGTAAAGTCAGAGCCAAGGCGAAGACCCAGGGCCTGTATCACGAAGCGAGATCAACCTTTCCTGGGTTACCCAGACCTATCCTGGGTTGACTAACCCTAACAATGGCAATCAGGATAATCGGTATCACGACGCTGGATATCAACTCGGTAACTCAACCCAGTGTTGCTTTATCAAGGATTTTGCTGTTTACTGTCTCAGTACCTGCTGTTCATCTTTACAGCACAATTTCACTTATCTAGAGAATTATTCCAGAAAGACTCGACAGGTGGAAAATAACTGAAGCTCACTTCTACCTGTTGGTGGTTGTTGAATATGTGAGATACAGATAACTTAGATTTAATTTATATTTACCTTAACTTAACAAGTTTATGATAAGTGATGAAAACTGTAACAGCAGCAGCCAACATCAAGTATCATCTGGAGAGAAATCCAGTTGACTTCAGGATATAAAGATTGAAGTTGACTGTACAGTTACATATCCTGCTATGACTCTAATGGATTGGATACAAACCAAAAATGCAGTTTACCAGCTGAGGAGCACTGTCACTTGTGTTTATGAGCCTGTTT